CTCCCGCCTGCAATGCGCAGCTACCTACCCCTACCCCCAAACCATCGGTGAACGAAACTGCGGCAGCTACAACCACTGTACGACAAGTACGCGGTTAGCACAGCTGATAATGATGATGATGATGATGATGATGATGATGATGATGATGATGATGATGACATCTGTCAGTGTGAATGGAATTCATTGAAGAACATGTTGGACTGCATGTTTCCTGTCTGCTAGTAGTTTAGCCCCAACAGCCGAAGAACGCCGCTGCATATGCCACTTGGATTTTTTAGACGTTGGTACCAGGCACAAAAACCATCAGTCCCAGGATTCGAAGAGCCAGTTACTGTGGAGCGAAGCGAAGAGTAGGTAATGTGTTTGGATGGAGCATATAGTCATGCTTGGGTTTCTTCCCTGATATAGTGGATATGTAAATTGCGTATCATAGTAACCCTTTAGCAGGCTATATTAGGCGTGTTTTGTAGAACTTCCTACTAATCAAAAGGACAGCTTATTCGAACTATGCGTTTTTCCTATGCAAGGCTCTTCTTTTATCCGGTAGAAGTGTTCGCTTAAACCCTACTGTATTAATCACGTGACCAAATGCCTTTTGAACGGCTGATAACTGGTCGATAGTCACGTTACTCCAGTCACTCGGACATAATGTATGGCACGCAGCTTGTACGGTATGTTTCACGTAAACCGCCAAAAACCCCGCCATTCCATGATGTCACACAAGGTGAAGGAGAGATCGCCGAACCAACTTTTCCGGAAACCAAAAGAGGGTTGGATGTGGAACAAAACACGCGTCATATGGACAAATTGATAAACACCGCTAAGTATGCACTCGAACCAAAGGTTATTGCGGAGGGCATAAACGCTACAAGGTTTCTACACAGCGTACATATCGATCAACGTCGTGATCGCTTGCGACCAATGTTGGCTTTGGAAGAAGCGTGCCTGAATGAGGAGATGCGCGAAAAATTTAAAGTAGCCATCCACTATGCTTAATTCCCAATCGATCGTCCCTCGACTGCAATACTGTAATCGTCTGTAAAATATGAAGTGTCCAAATACGAACGTTATTCAGAAACATTGGTCAAAACCCGCCAAAATTTGTTCTGTTACGCTGTGACCTATTATTTGATTCATTGAAAAATATACAGTAATTACTTGGTTGTCTCCCTAGAAGACGAAAGCAAGATCCGAGAGAAAATGCTCTAACTTTAAAATTCAAACTCGCAACTACTCGATCATGTCCTTAGATAATGTGCAACTAAGTGACCATTGATTAAAATTCAAACTCGCAACTACTCAATCAGGTCCTTAGATGATGTGCAACAAGTGACCGTTGAAAAACCACCCACGATGGGTTTTCTGCCCGGTTCAGTCAGGTTTCAGAAAATGGTCGCTGCTGAATAGCGTACATACGGAGTTTATTTTAATTCAGGCTAAAGTGAACTCACGAGATGAATCTGCCTCTTAGAAAACGCTTTTGTGACAAACCTGAATTGTCGTTTCCTCGCATAGGAATCAATGCCCTGAGTTCGAAGCCCGGTTGAAATTTTCATGGACTCGAGCGCCTAGCTTTCGGAAGCAACGACATCAGACTCATTCGCCTCTGAATCAAACTACTAGAGCCTTTATCATACCACGTCTTATTGCGCATTCCAGACTTTATACGGCCGCAGTACACGTCACCGTATAAACCAAGCAGCTTTTGAAAAAGTGCGCTTAAATTCACCGCAGTGATTTTTCTCAAAACAATAAAGAAATAAAATTTCTTTGACAATGCTACAGTAGTGTTGAGTACTATAAAAGATAGTTAAAAATTAGCTTCGACTGAGCTGGTTATATTCGTCCTCCTGGTTTGGGGACCTCGAGACGAGCCACATCAACGGTTGGCGAAATTGCCAGACGTGGAGATGTCATCCCCTCAATGATGCATCCAAGCTATTGCCATCAATGCATAGCTCCTTCCCGAATTCCCCCATTGACAGTGCAACAGTGCCGTATTTATGCCCCAATTTATTAGCTCCTGCCTCCAATACGCAGCTACCTACCCCAACTCCCCGAATCATCGGTGAAAGAAATTGTGGCAGCTACAACCAATGTGCGACCAGTACGCGGTTTCTCTACAATTGATAATAACGATGACAAAGAATTTATGATAGCGGTCACCATTATTAGTGTACGACATTTTACTGACTCCATATTTAGTGGGAAAACGTGTTTACCGGTGGGAGTTAAGCAGTACAGATGTAAAACGGTCATGAAATCCGATCCTTGCAGAGGTCGATAAATCGTGTCACTTGAATAACTCTTCAAATAAATCATGGTTGTACGGCGATGAAGCATCGGTGTTGAACACTGATGTCATGCTGTCGATGATGATGATGATCATGATGATTTAAAATTCGTGTTTTAGTTTGCGCAACGAATGCCTCAACCAGCGTATTGTATTTTAACGTATACATTCGGTCGATTTTGTTTGTTCAAAGTGTTTGTCGATTTCCTATCAAGGAGACCCGACCAATCTTTATTACCTTCGGGACCAGTGTAGCGGTATGGTTAGCCTTTTGAGACAATAAATTTGTGACAAAATCTGATTCAGCTGAGGTTCTCTCGCAAGTGTTATTCCTCAGAATTTTATCCTTTGTAGAATTCATGACTGGGCGAATAAACCTGCATCGTACTCCAACGTGAGGTTTAGAGCTACCCAACTCGGAGCAATATGTACATGATCCCTCACATGTTAATACTATTCCGCACGGATTAAACAGTTAATAGACTGCTTTCTTCATTGTCCTCAAGAGTGTGCTATGAAGATCTTCACCAGAATGTTTTGACTTATCGAGCATGATAAACTCGGGCCTGTTGTACTTTCCTGAGCTTCGGTGTCCAGTCTTCTTGTGATTTTCGTCGATAAGTTCTTCAGAGGGTACCCCATGTGTTCCAGAAATACACTAATTTGCAAATCAATTTTCACGCGAGACGAGACTCAATTGAACCTCTCGTTTATGATGTTCTCCAGCTGAATGTGTTGCACACAGTCTCTCGTGAAAAGCAAATTGATTTGCAAATTAGTGTACGTCTCGAAAACAGTCCAATTTGGGTTCAAGTAGATCATAAGGTTGACGGAAACTCGTGGACTGCGCCCAACTGATGTACCCTAAGAAGGGCGAAACGGGTCGTAGGCTGTCGAAGAGTTTTCAGCAACCTTGTGAGTAGTTTCCTTTATGAAAAAAAGTGTCCCATGTGGTTACGGACCGTGCTGTTCCGCTAATTTGGTAATCAGAACTTCTTTTCCAGTGGGAGGAGTGTTGGCATACTGTTGCCAGTTAAGGTACTTATCGCACTGGTAACCGCCGTTTGTGAGTGAATCTACACGATAAGTAAATGGAGTGACCTAGGAGTTTTTGAGACTGGTTTCGAGTACGCTTCTCACTACACATCGGCAACACACTTGGGTCGCTTAGGGGTCCTTGGTCTTGTAAAACATTGAAGAGTAATTTGATGTTCCTTTGAAACATCTTCATTATCATCATCATCGAGAGCATGACGTCAGTGTTCAACACCGATGCTTCACTGCCGTAGAGCCATGATTTATTTCAAAGCCTTATTGTAAAGAAAGAGAGGAAAGGTGGACGGGGAAGGGAGTTAGTGCTAGCTTACCGCAATCATTCCGAGATGCCCATACCTTTAGAAACTCACTTAGGCGATCTGGATAGAAACTGACAACAAGAACGCCACTGAGATCGGTCTCCAACCAGGCGCAGTGGGGATCACGTGATCCCCATCCTGGAAGGCGAGTAGCACCGACAGCACCCAAGCGTTTCGTGACCTCGTTCATACTCGTTTTCTCCAGTCAACTCCAACCTCTCAACAGGGCCAACAGGTAGTCCAGTGAATTCAAATGACAATATGGCATGGGTGACTGGCCATTCAGGACTAATAATGATTCGTAACAATCGCTCAACTGTAACCCTCTTTTGGTGGTTAACTACTTTGCCACACGAAGGAAACACGGGGGCTGAGATACTGTCAGATTGCGCAATCCTAGATATGAGCAGTCGAGATGCTGGACCACTGGCAGCTCGGTCAATAAGTTTCCGTCTGATCCGCGAAGTTATCTCGAGTTCAGTTGTAGGAAGGTGAATGGGAGGCCAAGTTCAGCTGCTATCTCTAGTTTTGATTATCATATGCTGTTTTAGAAATGTCTACTGGGAGCAAATTTAACGAGACACGAATTGCTCAGTTATCCAATGACCCGTCGCCAGCTTTTTTCTTGCGTCTGACTAAATATGCTTTGAGTATGGCTTCTCAACTTTCGTAACGAAAGAATCCAGGACTATCAGATGAAGCTTGGATACAACATTCGTAGAAGTTCGCCCTTGGAATAACCTCTCTGTACAGCTAACAGCAAAGTTACGAGGAAGACGCTTCCAAACGAAACACATTAAGGTGTGTTACAAAGAATTGGTTGAATAGACTAGGCCTTTGACATATGGGTACTCAGAAGATGGTCGCATTTACACGGCACCCAAAACAGGACTGTTTTAAAAGTGTTCCCTTCCAGTGCTTTGTTCCGTGTGTATGACCTCAAATTTGGTGAGCACTTGTAACTCATTGTTAAATCGAGCGAATTTTCATAAAATTGCTTTATCTTGCCTGCCTGGTGGTTTCATTTCACTGATGATTATGGGGAGGCTTACTTCCAGTAAACGCTTACACCTGCCGGTGTGAACAACAAGGTATTTAGAACAACTCAGTGTCCGATCCAATGTTGACACCTGATCACATTGTCCATCGATATTTTAAGGTCACAAATCCATTACTATCACAAGTTTTAAGGGTAAATCATTCAAGGTAACACGATTGTAATAATTCGGCTTGCCAGTTGACAAGTGAGCACGAGATGTGGAACAGGTGGCTGAAGGATGAGCGACACTCTATCCTATCTGGGTTCGAGCCAATCATCTTGTTGCTTAGCCTCGTTAAGGGTCCAACGAAAAGTCTTCACATGGTTTTCGTTGCGTATGTACTGGAACCAGTGTTTTGGATGAACGTCCCCCTTATTAAAGCCTTACAGAGATTCAGGCCCCAGTCATCTGACGTGTGGAATGGGTATACTCCCGCTGCGTACCGGGAGAGCTTGACCAGTCGTCTGGTCGATATGGCTGGTAATCTGAACGTAAGAACAGCACCCTGACTGTACAACTGTCAACAGAAAAGACTGTAACAGGAAATGATGAGCCCCGCTCTTGTAATAAGGATATAATTAAAGTTCATCGAAGGCAGGCATCATCAAGCAGCTATCCCGCACTCGGTGGGCCAAAAGCGTCCTCGACTTATCTTTCTTCGACATTCCCAAAATGTATGGAGCTGTCCCCAAAAACCGAACATCAAATCACGCATGTCATGTGCAGGACACAGAACAAACGAAGGCATGCCTTGATTGGTCAGAATGCCAGCCAATCCGGATCGAGCATCTTTGACTCGAAGCTTCTCGCCCCCTCATGGGGATTCTAGCACGACCTTGTGGAACACTCTGTGACTACCCTATAAATACACTTGTAATAATCCTCCCTGGTCCCAATAAAGGGCTGTCTATAGCTACCGTGCCTTTTTGATATACCATAGTGGGCGGAGCAGAAAGCCAAGGGACAGAGTTGCACTATCGTTCAGCAAGACACAACAACTGGCGACTGTAGGAGCCACACAGTCACACAATCGCAGCAGGTAATGCGTTGCCATGATGACACACCGATCCCCATCTCAAGTGTCATATTTTGTTTACATATTACAGCAAATAAGATGCAGCAGGAACCAACAGATTTTCCATGAACAATTCGTTATTGGGTACACAAACCCAATGTTGTCATAGGAATAAACAGGTTGCACACATTTATGTTGGTATTTCTTGCCGGAATTTAACAGAATGTAACATGTAGTCAATTCTGAAAGCTATAAACTAGCTGGTCATGACGGCCTCTCTTTTGTGTTTGCCT